CTTCCCCACCGGAGATATGAGATGTTAAAAATGGCCGATTTGGGGCCCAGAGCAAAGTTTGGAAGCTCCTGGAAAATTTTGGAAACTAGGTACGGGATTCAAAACTAAGTGATTATATTCCCCATATAGGTAACAACAAATGGTAGAAATCACAGATCTGATACTTTCCCCCTCCCATTGGTTTTTGAAGGTCAAAAATAGCGTTTTTCCCAAAATCGATAGGTAAGTTTCAAGTTTAATTACACCTACAGAAAGTGAGCTGAGTAAAAACTTGTAATAATATGATTTGTAGTCCATATCATGAGGAACAAATAGCGTTTTTATTGGAGTCTGTAGCTTCAATAGTTATCGAGATATGGAAGATAACGCAAACCTCCATTTCAGCCGAAAACGCGTTTTTTCGCATTATAAAAACGCCTGTACCGAGAGAACTGAGCGGATTAGAATTTTTTTAAAATTTTTTTTGTAGTATGAAAATATGTATAAATAAGTGTACAAAATATAATTTTTTTTAAAAATGGTGAGCGACCTTTCTGGATGATTTCACATGGAATGACCCTTACACAATGTTCTATGTATGACATCATTCTGAAATGTGGGACCTTACTGCCTACTTAGGGGTTAAACATACCCCTCTAGAAGGCGAAAGTCACTTCATACCTTGAGGAAGACAGCAAGATCCTACAAAATGTTTATATTTATCAATCTGACATTGTCATAATCAAAAAACTATACAATAAAATAAAAGTTAAAGAATCACAAATGTTCTTGCAGTAATTTTACTATCAACAAGCCTAGTCATTACAAAGACAAGAGGCATTTAGGAAGGCAGATGAGTCATTTCAATGTTCAGACGAACTGCAGTATTACGTTCAAAACCAGGTACAACTTCTGGGTCTTCTATTGATGAATACATGTCGTGTCTTTTTATATTTTTTAAATAAAGGCTCTAAAGTGATACTTTGTTATTTATTTTCATCAGCACTACTTACATCATTACATTTTCCATTTGTGTTCTAAATCTTTTTGTCTTTTGGGGCTACCTTTTGCTACACATTAGTACAGATAATCACTTAACCCGATGACCTGTCCACCCAATTAATCTAGATTAGGAAGAGTTCATTGTATCTGTCTTCCTCTAGCATCCTCTGTGGATGCCCCACTCTCAGCTGAAAGCTGATGAGCTCCTTTACATTGATGTGGATAGTAACGTGGGACTACCTTCATTCTTGTGGCCTCTTCACCTGGGTCAGCAATTTCTTTGCCCAAGTCTCGCCAGCACTTCAAACAAATAGTACAATCTGCCTACTAGTGTATGCACTGACAGCAGCACAAAGCAACACAACTCTCACAATGTGCTGAACAGTAAGTATGCAAACACTTTTAAGTTTCAAATTCCCAAACAGCTTACCTGACGATTAGTTGCCGACATTCCGTGCACGTCTAGTGGAGGCAACTGGAGATCTCCAAGGGCAATCCTTCCTTGATGCGAAGTCAAGCATGTCCATCAGGGGGGCATGAGGTAGGACCTTTACGGATGCCGTAAGCTGGGTCCCACATCCTCCATCACTTAGAACAGCAACTTCTTCAGTGATACCACTCCAGCACTGTTCACGTGGGCTATGTACACAGCACTCCATGCACTGGCAACCCAACATGGAGTACAGTATACATCAGTGTGCAAACTGAAGATGGTCTTCCATTTCAAATGGTCTAGGAAAACACTAACAGTTCAGTCTACAGGCTGGACAGCTGAAGACCCAATTCCTGGCAGATGTAAGTGATTTTCCTCTACTTCATAGCATACAGACCAGCTCTGGAGCTCTACTGAGACGGTCACTATAAAGCGTATAGTCTTCTGGCTTGTAATTCTATGTGGTTTGGAGAAAGTCTCAAGTTTCAGAAGAACACAGGTAAAAATGGTAAAAGCTATGTAACAGGCTGTGGAGGCCCTTAGCATTTTGAGATGTCAAGGCTCCCCAATTTTCTAAAACTAGATCACAGATGGCAGTGGGGTCAGCCTTATACGCCAGCTGCCCTTTACCCCCAGGGAGATTCCTGGTACTCATTTCTGTTAGGGGATGAGTTGACACCAGGGCCATAGTGTGGCTGGAAGGATTAGGTCAATTGGGAAAAAATCCAATGACCTCATTGGGAATTTAACCAGCGACCTTATGGCTTGTAGCATACTGCCTCAACAAACAATGCTAACCCATGCCCCTTCAAAGTGACATATGACACCAATTTTCAGGTCTGAAGAAAAAGCTAAGCATAAAATTTGTCGTCTACTTCTGCTGGTTTCTTGCTTAGCTGACATTTCAACGTAATATCTTTGTCTGAAATACTGGTCCCTTCTAACCCTCAGAGGGACAGGATTCTACTATTCCTACACAAAGAGCTTCTGGCATAACAAATACCTGNTTGGGAAAAAATCCAATGACCTCATTGGGAATTTAACCAGCGACCTTATGGCTTGTAGCATACTGCCTCAACAAACAATGCTAACCCATGCCCCTTCAAAGTGACATATGACACCAATTTTCAGGTCTGAAGAAAAAGCTAAGCATAAAATTTGTCGTCTACTTCTGCTGGTTTCTTGCTTAGCTGACATTTCAACGTAATATCTTTGTCTGAAATACTGGTCCCTTCTAACCCTCAGAGGGACAGGATTCTACTATTCCTACACAAAGAGCTTCTGGCATAACAAATACCTGTATTAGGAGGCATTTACCTGCAGTCATGGCAGAAACTTTGAGATTGTCCATCTTCAGCCTGAAGTTCATGAACTCCTTGAAGGTGAGGGTGACACTACTTCCATTCTCACTGCTCCACAATAAAAGAACAGTGGGCCCAACCAGTGAATTCCAACGTCTCTTAGGAACTGTTAACAAAGAAATAGGCCATAAGATTTAAATTAGAAGCCTACTACTGCTAGTGGGCTTTCAGCTGAGAAGGAAATATGCTGCTTGCAAGTGCAAGGTGACAAGTTTCCTCCATCCCAACACAAACTTATCACATTCTATAAGAACTGCTAGAACACTGCCCCTTCTGTCTTTAAGCATGACTCAAGGCTCATAAGAAATTCTTCAGTTCTGAAGTGAATAGTTTCTTCATGTCCGGGCATAAAGTACGCTCACCACCAATACTTTTACGCTGTGTAATAGCAGTTGCACATTCTGCAGTAACCAGCTGCCAAAACTGAATGCTTCCTGCATAACCTTAAGTTCGGACATTTATGTTCATTTTCATGGGAAAAATGTAAAATGTGGGTGCAGATCCCAGCGCAAATTCTTCCTTGAGTACTGGTCTGTATACATCCTTGCATATCTTAAACCTCTTCTTTAGTCTGCACATTGTGCTAAGTTTGTCTCGTACGACAAAATTACGTATTCCGCTTTCAGCCAACACTACACTGTTACTTCCCTCTTACCTGCAAGATCTTATGCCAAATCACTATAAGCAGCAAAATAAACTCCTACGCTCTTACACATCACACCAAACTCACAAACACAATGGCTACCTCAACCACCTTCATTCTTTGGCCGACACTAGCGCTGTCGAGCATTCATCTGAATCTCTTTGCTATGTTCAAAAATTACTTATTCGTGTTGTACTTGAAATACGTATTTAATCAGTACAGTTTTCACCCACACTCACAATGCTATCTCGATATGTCTACTTTACATTAAAGAAACTCAAAGAAATTTACTCAGAGATTTAAGACTTTGAAGCAGTTTAGTTCTTAAATATTACTTTCATAAATGCAGTTCCTACATAACAGAAAAACATTATTCATGTTCATTACAAAGACATATCAGCAGATTATTATTCATGTTATTTTACGACGCTTCCAGTATCTACAAAACTATGCGTGTATACCCGTAACCTGGTAACGACAGCGAAATAAGCTGCTATTAAAAGCTGTTGCTAGGTATTCGCTTCGTAAACAGAAGCCGTTGCTAGGTAACTGCTCTGTAAACATCGGTCGTTGCTAGATAATCGCTCTGTAAATAAATGTTGTTGCTAGGTACAATACCACACCAGGCGACACGCAACAATAAAAGAACTGTTGGAATAGGTGTTTTCTGGGTGGTCAGGCACAGGCAATATAATGTAATATCCCAATGAAGAAGACAAACTACGAGCAGTAAGGGATATGTGCATTTGTTCAGCTAGATTATATTTTTGGGAGAATAAGTGCAGCAACGAAGCGGACTGGTTGCTACGCAGCGTTGAGGTAAATATTTTTCGGCAGCGTTGCTCAGCAACGCCTTTGTAAACACGGCGATTACGCAACAGTGAAGCGATGTGCGTTTTCTGCTGTCCGACTGAGGGTTTATAAGAGAAACTGGAATGCCTGAGGAGTTCAGTTCAGATATATCAGCCGTGAAAGAAGAAGAACCGAACGCGTGGTTACAAGATTTTATGTGATAATCAGCGATAGTTTGTGATAATTGAAAAGGTACTGGGAGTGTGTAATTCAGTGAGACTTGTATAGCTCCCGTGTCATAAATACCTGAAGACTGCCGAAGATTGACTGAAGAGATTAGCGTGTAGTGAGTATAAGTTGTGTAAATCAGTAAGAGTGTAATAAGTAATTGTAGTTACGACCGGTAAGTGGTTAATAAAACCAATTAGCAATTCAAATGGCGTCTTCAGTAGCCAGACACGTTACAATGCGTTCAATGAGTATTGGCTCGTAAATGTTTTATACCCAGTGGCGTAACTCATACTCGTGATTTCTTTTCAATTAGGTATCTTTTTAATGCTTGTATTGGGGGTTTACTCAGGTCTGTCTGGTAGAGTTAGAACGGTACATGTTTTCTTTNGAGGGACAGGATTCTACTATTCCTACACAAAGAGCTTCTGGCATAACAAATACCTGTATTAGGAGGCATTTACCTGCAGTCATGGCAGAAACTTTGAGATTGTCCATCTTCAGCCTGAAGTTCATGAACTCCTTGAAGGTGAGGGTGACACTACTTCCATTCTCACTGCTCCACAATAAAAGAACAGTGGCACCAACCAGTGAATTCCAACGTCTCTTAGGAACTGTTAACAAAGAAATAGGCCATAAGATTTAAATTAGAAGCCTACTACTGCTAGTGGGCTTTCAGCTGAGAAGGAAATATGCTGCTTGCAAGTGCAAGGTGACAAGTTTCCTCCATCCCAACACAAACTTATCACATTCTATAAGAACTGCTAGAACACTGCCCCTTCTGTCTTTAAGCATGACTCAAGGCTCATAAGAAATTCTTCAGTTCTGAAGTGAATAGTTTCTTCATGTCCGGGCATAAAGTACGCTCACCACCAATACTTTTACGCTGTGTAATAGCAGTTGCACATTCTGCAGTAACCAGCTGCCAAAACTGAATGCTTCCTGCATAACCTTAAGTTCAGACATTTATGTTCATTCTCATGGGCAAAATGTAAAATGTGGGTGCAGATCCCAGTGCAAATTGTTCCTTGAGTACTTGTCTGTATACATCCTTGAATATCTTAAACCTCTTCTTTAGTCTGCACATTGTGCTAAGTTTGTCTCGTACGACAAAATTACGTATTCCGCTTTCAGCCAACACTACACTGTTACTTCCCTCTTACCTGCAAGATCTTATGCCAAATCACTATAAGCAGCAAAATAAACTCCTACGCTCTTACACATCACACCAAACTCACAAACACAATGGCTACCTCAACCACCTTCATTCTTTGGCCGACACTAGCGCTGTCGAGCATTCATCTGAATCTCTTTGCTATGTTCAAAAATTACTTATTCGTGTTGTACTTGAAATACGTATTTAATCAGTACAGTTTTCACCCACACTCACAATGCTATCTCGATATGTCTACTTTAGATTAAAGAAACTCAAAGAAATTTACTCAGAGATTTAAGACTTTGAAGCAGTTTAGTTCTTAAATATTACTTTCATAAATGCAGTTCCTACATAACAGAAAAACATTATTCATGTTCATTACAAAGACATATCAGCAGATTATTATTCATGTTATTTTACGACGCTTCCAGTATCTACAAAACTATGCGTGTATACCCGTAACCTGGCAACGACAGCGAAATAAGCTGCTACTAAAAGCTGTTGCTAGGTATTCGCTTCGTAAACAGAAGCCGTTGCTAGGTAACTGCTCTGTAAACATCGGTCGTTGCTAGATAATCGCTCTGTAAATAAATGTTGTTGCTAGGTACAATACCACACCAGGCGACACGCAACAATAAAAGAACTGTTGGAATAGGTGTTTTCTGGGTGGTCAGGCACAGGCAATATAATGTAATATCCCAATGAAGAAGACAAACTACGAGCAGTAAGGGATATGTGCATTTGTTCAGCTAGATTATATTTTTGGGAGAATAAGTGCAACAACGAAGCGGACTGGTTGCTACGCAGCGTTGCAGTAAATATTTTTCGGCAGCGTTGCTCAGCAACGCCTTTGTAAACACGGCGATTACGCAACAGTGAAGCGATGTGCGTTTTCTGCTGTCCGACTGAGGGTTTATAAGAGAAACTGGAATGCCTGAGGAGTTCAGTTCAGATATATCAGCCGTGAAAGAAGAAGAACCGAACGCGTGGTTAGAAGATTTTATGTGATAATCAGCGATAGTTTGTGATAATTGAAAAGGTACTGGGAGTGTGTAATTCAGTGAGACTTGTATAGCTCCCGTGTCATAAATACCTGAAGACTGCCGAAGATTGACTGAAGAGATTAGCGTGTAGTGAGTATAAGTTGTGTAAATCAGTAAGAGTGTAATAAGTAATTGTAGTTACGACCGGTAAGTGGTTAATAAAACCAATTAGCAATTCAAACGGCGTCTTCAGTAGCCAGACACGTTACAATGCGTTCAATGAGTATTGGCTCGTAAATGTTTTATACCCAGTGGCGTAACTCATACTCGTGATTTCTTTTCAATTAGGTATCTTTTTAATGCTTGTATTGGGGGTTTACTCAGGTCTGTCTGGTAGAGTTAGAACGGTACATGTTTTCAGTCTATGTGTAGTTTCGCTGTTGTCTAATATGTTCACTGCTAAAGCATTAGTGTGATTCCGTAATTTTCTTAAGTATTTTTAGTCCACCTTTTTATTTCACTGGGCAGTGTGTTCATTTATAGACCTTCATGGATCCTATGATTCTTTATGTACCAATATGCGTTCCGAGTGACTTGGAGGGTCTGATTTAAAGCGCTGGAGGATTTCGATTTTGGACTTAGGGGCTGTTCCCCATAGCTGAACTGAATTCCGTAAACCCATATGGGTTTGAGTACTGCTTTGTATAGGAGAAGTTTGCTCTCTATTGATTGTGTTGATTTTCCGAGTAGCCAGTTCATTTGTTTCGCTTTTTGGTTGAGCTGTTTTCTTTTGATTTTGATATGCTTTGCCCATCTCAGCCTTCTTTCGAGATGCATGCCTAGGTATTTCACTTCATGTTTCTGGGGTAGATCAACATTACCCATTTGCACTGTCGGATAGGTTTGGTTGCCTAGGATTAATGTAATATGCGTGGATTGATTTCGACGTATTTTAATTCTTTATTTCTTCATCTAATCATCGAGCTTATTGATGGCGGGTTCGAGTTTCACTGAGAATATCGTTGGATCTTCATGTGTGGATAATATTGCTATATCATCCGCGAAGGTAGCAGTTGTTGTGTTGTCTGATATTGGGAGGTCGCTTGTGTAGGTAAGATATAGGACAGGTCCAAAGACACTTCCTAGCGGTACGCCTGCTTCAGTTTTTCTTAAGGTTGTGATTACGTCGTTGAATTTCACTTGAAAGAGTTCATCCGTTAGATATGATTATATTCTGTGATATGTATAGGGAAGGACTTTTCTGATTTTGAAAAGGAGGCCTGGATACCATGTTTATCAAACTCTTGTGTGATGTCTCGGAACACCGCAGAGCAGTACTGTTTCTTTTTTTAAACTTTCTCTTATTTTATCTTGTAATTCGGTGTATTTGTTCTATGGTAGCGTGTTTCTGTCAAAATCCACACTTATGATCCGACAGGATTCGGTTTCCTTCCAGTGTCGGTCGTAATCTCTTGAAATAGTTTTGTCGAAGATTTTCTCATTATTGGGAGTAGCCTGATAGTTCTATATGAACCTGCTTCTTCTGGCGGTTTTCCAGGTTTCGTGATCATTATAATATTTGCGACTTTCCACTGAATTGGGAAGCATCCCGTCCTAAGAATTAAGTTGAATATAATTATTAGATGGACAATGCCTTTTTATGGCATTCTTTCAATATTCTTCCTGTAATTTGGTCATATTCGGGGGTTTCCTTGGGTTGCGGTCGTTTTCATTACGTTTTGGTTTTCTTCACTGTGAGGAGTTTGATTTGTTGTTATTTGCAGCGGTTCATTCAGCGCTTTGTTGATTTCTGTTTCGAAGTCTTCGTTTTGTGGCAGTTCATTTTGTCTGAAATGTCTTTGCCAAGCATCCTGCAAACGCGCTCGCTTTCTCTATCACTTCGTACCCAGGCTTGTTCCGCGCTTCTGATTGGTGGGATGTGTTGTGTCGGTTATTTAAATCGTTGGGTTGCTTTCCAGGGTGAATAGTCGGTGTCAGCTGTCGTTGTTAATATTTGAAAGTGTACCTGAAATATTTCTTCTTTGATCCTCTTTATTTTGCCTTCATTTTATCTAGCCTCTTCGTTGTACCTGAATTTATCTTCGGGATGCCGACTCAACTACTATCTTCTTCTAAGTTTTCGGTTTCCGTTAATCTGGTCATTCACTTCCCATAGAAATTCCGGATATGTTGTTTCAAGTTTGCCGTCTGGTGTTGCACTCCAAACTGCTTCTTTTATTCGTCAGTGAATTCTGTAATAGCCCCTTTAATGTCTTTCTCTGTTTTGAGCGGGATGTTGAATCGTAAATTTTCTTCGATTTAAATTCTGAAGACTTCTCAGCATGTTTGGTTGTTGTGCAGTTTTGGTGATTTTTCGTGAGTTTAAATATTCGTACATATGGTGGTGATTATAGGTGTGTGATCTGATGCGATCTCTAGATTGGTTCTTACATCTATGGAGTTATGGAAAAGCCCTTTGAAGATAAAGATGCCTAGTAGATCTGGAGTTTTGTTGATATCTGTTGGCCATTAATTTGGTTCGCCCGTGGATAATATTTCTAGTTGTTTTTCTTGCATGGTATTGTATAGTTCGCGATCTTTAGGATTGATTACGCGGGAACTCCATTATTGGTGTTTCGCGTTGAAATCACCTCCAAACACAAAATCTGTATCCTAGTGAGTCAACGAAGGAATTGTATTGTTCTTTTTTAAATGTGTGGCGTGGGGGAGGGGGCAGTATATGACTGAGAAAGTAAAACTTCCATCCCAGCCTTCGATGCTTATATCCGTTGCCTGAGTGTGGTCTGTTTCATATATGGGAAGTTCGTGATGTTTTATATCTTTTCTTTTGATTATGGCTGAACCTGCATGGGCTCTCCCATCCGGAAGTTTGGTAGCGTATCTGATATACCGTATTTACGCATGTATAGGCCGCGTACGTGTATAGGCCGCAGCACAATTTTCAGACAGAAATTATAGAAAAAATAATTTCCTTGAATATTATTTCAGGAGTATTACCCTGTAATACTAATGATGAATATGAAGTGTGATTTCGAATATTTCGAATATAAGCCGCACCCCAGTTTTCCTCTTGAATTTTTGGCAAAAAGTGTGCGGCCTATACATGCGTAAATACGGTAGTTTGGGACGTTGGGGATATTTACATAGTTTCGTTCCGCACAGTGGGTTTCGGACACCAACAGGCTGTCTGTTTTCTGGGTGTTGAGAAATACTTCTACTTTTATGCGTTCGGTCACCAATTTGAATTCCACTCTTGTATGCTGTATATGTGAATTATTTTACTAATTTGTTAAGCACGGCGGTGAGGATATTCATGAGCGTCCTCATTTGTTCCGCTTGTTTGGAAAAACTGTTTAGAACCTTGTGAAGGAATCTTGCGTTATTTTGAATAGTGAATGTTCTTCTGTGTTGTTCGCTGTGTTGATGGCGTTTCAGTACCATTTCTGGTTTCTTGGGCGTGTGTCATTTTCGGACGGCCTTTAGTTTTCTGCGGTGCTGCAGGGCTTTCGTCCTCTAGTCCGGATGTACATATTTTTATCATTATGCTTCTTTACAATCTACATCATTACAGAGTATTAAATAAATGTGTTGTAGGTGGTTAGCTTGCAAGGGAAACATCCAGTGATGTTTCTCATACATGTAGTATATATCATTGATTGATGATGTCTTAGGGCCACGTTCTATTCAGTTTTCTTGTCACAGGTGTATAGCTCTTCTATTAATTCGCTGTCATGGTTTACAGTTTTGTTTTTGTGCCTTTCAGCCATTCTTAGTGTTTCATTTTTGACGAAGGGTATCTTTACGTCGTTGTGGAGTGTAAGGTTGCTCACATACCATGGTGCGGCTGCAATTGCCCTTAGTGTTTTTGATTGGAATCCCTGGATGAGATTGGCTTTCGACGGCTTTGCAAATATCCAGATTTGAAGACCATAGGACCAAATAGGTTTCAATACAGCTTTGTATAGTAGTATTTTGTTAGTCATAGAGAGCTTTGAATTTCTATTGAGAAGCCAATACATTTGACGATATTTCATGTCAAGCTGTTTTCTTTCAGTTTGGATGTGTTTTCTCCAAGTAAGCCTTTGATCGAGGTGGAGGCCGAGTTAC